ACTACTGAGGTAAGTAAGCCTTTGATGCCATAGAGATTATTGTGGGCTTAATAATGGAGTAGCAACTTAAAAATCAACTTGTAGAAGACATACCAGTGCTGAAGAAAATCAAGGTAATTGAATCTGGGTAGAAAAAATGGAAGTAGCAAGTTGCATAGTTGACCAAATAAAGAATTCAGGAAGACCAAAGTGACCTAATAAGTAGAGATGGTGGAAAGAGGTTGCTATACCAAAAGAAGATAGCCATAAACCATGATTGATTTGAGTAGAACAATAGTCTATGGCTATTATCTAATTTTTATGGTTATACACAATAGTAAGAGACACCGTTGGATTGATATTTAGTGACCAACAAATATTGTTGTAAATAAGGATAGGAAGCACTGCTAAAAGAGGCTTTTGTGTAGTACCACCATTATTATGGATAGTGATCAATAATCCAAAGGACGCAGAGAAAAAGATTAGAAAGAATTAGTAATAAGTAGCTGCATTTCTATATGAATGATCATCATACCATGAGGCAATTGAAGCTTGTGGATTTGCAACATTAAGAGGTGGGATATTTTCAATGGAAATTTGTATAATGTATTGAAAAATCAATTGTGGTAGAGGTGATTCTTTCAAGTAAGCATTAGTATGTGCCTCCACATGTTGTAATTGGTATTTAGTAGAGTCAAATAGATATAGATTATCTTGAAGAAGGCATGGTGCAAGTATGGTGTTATTTCGTACTAAGAAGTGATATATATGATTCTTAATTAAAATTCCTCTTCTTTTAAGATCATAGTCACATATTATAAACAGATATTTATGTAAATGTGATACATATAAGATGTTGGAGAGATAAAGTGTCTTGCTATTGGCCAATAAAATCTCTAATCTTTCTTTCTTATAGATGAGTAAGTTTAAGTCATTGCCAAGATAGACCTTGTTGTCACCATTTAGAAATAATTTGAAGTTGATGAATTGTCTTTTATTATGTGTCAAGTAGTGAATAGCATCAATATTAATAAATCATTACTTGTCTTTGGTGGTTCTAAGCTTAGGCAATTTTTTTTAAAAAAAAACTTGTATGATATAAATATGGGCATAAAAAATAAGAAGTAATTCATCTATTTATTCTTGATTCTATTTTTTTTTCTTGTTGTTATAATTTGTTATTGCTAAATTTGTAGTAATTCTTATTTTATTTTTAAATCATTAAAAATTCCAATCTTTCATTTTTTTGCATTGTAGGCAAAGAGTTATAGGTTTATTTCAAGGTTTTGAAAGCTTATGGTATTTTTAGATGGATTTGTGAAATTTTCATTTGATCTTTTTCTTGTCTCATATAAAGAAGGCATGTGAGTCAAAAAAAAAAGCCTTTTATAGCTGTTTCTTCTTGTAAAAGAATTGAAATCAACTTAAGAAGTATTACAATTTTAATTATGCAAAGCATTTAGATCATAGTATCATATTGAAATGGCATGGACCTCACAAAAGTGAGGATTTTTATTTAAGAAGAAATGATAACTCTTACAAAATTTCATTGTTGAAGTAAATTTTTGAAGTTGTATATATGCTGAGTTATTGATTCTTTAGCTTTTATCTTTTGTATGATAAATTTTTCTTACAAGTGGACTAGAATAATTGTGTGACTAGTAGAATATACATTTTCAAAGGCTAACTATGCTTTAATGGTTGTCTTAAATGCTTTGATATAAGAAAAAATTAAATTTTCTACACAATCTCAAATTGTTGTAAAAACAACATCTTCTTTTCTTTTTCAAGGAAGAATTTTAGTTTGATTGGTTGGTGGTGCAATTGATGTTGTAACTACTTCTTAAATTACTATTGGTTTTATTTTTTTTTTTTCTTGAAATTATATCCTACAAATTTTATAATGTCAAGGAAAGAGTGAATGATTAGATCACATCTCCTTGTCATGGTACAATGTTTTACTCTTATTTAATTTGTTATATTTGATTACTATTACTATTATTTTTAACATATGAATGTAGTATATATAATATACTTATACAATTATTATTTCTATCAAAAATAGTTCATTATTTCATGCGTTTATTGGTTGAATTATTTTTTGTTTGATAAAGTTGATTCTTTGTAATAATGCTTCATCAAGCTTTAGATGTGATTCTAATTGTCATATATTCTAATGTAGTTCTCTATGTCAAGTGCTATGCCCTTTTTGTGATTGTTCCAAAATACAAAAACTTCTTTTTTATTGATATATCTTCCAACTCGGTGCATCTAAAGATCAATACAAGAATCAATGTTGGTAACAATTATTTTTATTCATTCCAATATCAAAGAATCAATTCAAAGATTCTATTATGCATCCATTAAAACCACTTTTAATTTTAAATTGCATCTATATTTTTATTTATCTATTAATCAACCTTATACATTTCTATTACATACTAGCATTTAAATCACTTTGAATTAGATGTATTTGCAATCAGTTTGTGTATAATTCATGCATAAATCCATAGACTAATGAAGAAGATAAATGTCAAGAATGTATGAAGCCAATTGGGATTTAGAAAATAATGGCATTAACAACATGCATAAAGTGCCACATTCACTTACAATAAAGTACAATCTAATTTAGTAATTGTCTTTTGCCTTGCCTCCTCTTTCTTTCTTTGTGAATTTTTTTTTGTTTACATATATTTGTATAAATAAGAAAACCATTGACTTTTTATTTTTATTTTTCATATTAGTCACATTAAAATTATAATGCATTTGATGTTCTATATTTGAATGATATGTGCTAAAATATCAATTTTTTAAAAAATAGTATTTACACAAATAAATTAATTATTAATTTTGAATTGATAAGTTTAAAAATATATATATTATATAATATTCAATATCATAAATTCATTGAAAAAACATACAATGATTTCAATTAAGGTATATATGTATATATATATATATATATATATATATATATATATATATATATACTCAAATTAATGTATATATGTTTATAAAAAAAAATAATAATAATAAGAATCAAAAATTTTAAAAAAAATCAATAAATGCATATAAGATCCCTTTACTTTGCATAAAATACTTGAATTATAGCAAAATCCTTTCAAAACATTTTTTTCTACAAAGGATTCTTTTTTTTCTTCCCAAACTTTAAAATTTCATATCTCTTGATTCAACTATTCAATTTTTTTTGAATTTCTAAATAATGTAGCATTTATCCTTAAGCTTTATTACAAAAAGAATGAACTATAAATTTATTGTTAATTATTTGGCATCTCAAAGATCGTAGTAGATGCTCTAAATCCCAATTTACAAGCATCTAAGTACTATTTTCTTCATATCTCAAAAATCCAAAATTCAAATGCAACAAAAAATTGTATATAACTTAATAATATAATAATATAAATTTTAAAAATTTTGAACCAAAATCTTGTCAAATTGCTTGAGACATAGCTCAAAACATAACTACTAGCAAATCGGATCACTTACTATCTTTAGATTCCAAGCACTAACTTTAACTTCCAATACCTCCTTCATTCTAACTTAGAATTCATCAAGCAATACATGTAAATAACAAGAATAGATGAAGAAAATGCAAAACACAAGACAATATATTGTACAACATGTAAGTCTACAACATATTGTAGAATTATAATCAAATAAAAACATACCAATTTATTATACAATAACCTCCAAAAATCTTATCAACTTAATAAAAAAAAACTATATTAAAAATGAAAATAAAACTTGCATTTTTCTTCTGATACTCTTTTTCTAATATCAGAACTATGTTTTAAACAAGACCTTACTAATATTTGTAAGAAAATAATAATATTAAAACAACAACAATAACAACAACACAGCAACAACAAGGTTACTTCAATATCAAAAACTCATCACATTACTCTCTGAATAACCAAACTCATATTTCCTTCTAGTATACAAACCAGTGTCTTCAAATTCGATGTACATTTACAAAAAGGCAAAGGCACACAGTTTCCATGAACATGCATGCACACCAAAACTACGCCACACGCTATTTATTATTCTAAAACGTACACCAGGATCATGAACTGGCTTCGAGCGAAGAAGCTTCAAGGTTTCGACGCCGCAACCCAAAAGCTTCGCAGCAGCAGCAGCGTGAGAGGGAGGGATGGGATAGGATGGGATAAGATGGGATGGAAGTAGTGGCCGAGGCCGATGTTTGCTCGCATCGATCGATCGATCAATCCTTGCTGCACACAATGCATCCGAGAAGTAGAGATCCATCCATTAGCACCAGGCTGGCTACAATCAATCGGGGTGAGGGAGAGTCGTGTTTTAGCTCACATCCCGCGCGTCCGGGCTATCGCCTCACTTTTAGCTCGTGATTGCTTGTTGATCGGAAGTGATTTGGCGCTCAGGTTCCAGCGCCACATGCGCAGCTCCGGATGCAACATGCCCGAGGTTCCACGATTCTTTCTGCCGCTTGCTTGCATCGGATCGCCAGCTTGTTCTCTAGTAACTAACTCGAATAGCTCTTCTACTTTGAATGTCAACAGCTCTGGTGGAACAGTGTAGATCTGGTTTGTTGTTGTGAAGGGCGATCTCTGCCGTTCATATTTGTTTGGAGTCGTGGATGTGGAGAATATGGTATGTGGTGTCTGCGAGGGCAGTTGCGGTGTAGGTCTTTGTCATTTGTTCACAGTTGTAGCGATAATTCTGAATCTAGACCAGTAACGATGCACACCCGAATAATTTTCGCACTTTTCTTTCGTAGGTTGAGGAGTTTGTCAAAAACCGTCGTTCTGGGAATTGAGGATTGCTCAGATTTGGTCAACTCTCTCGACGATCGGTTCTGTGCAGACATTCAAAAATTAACAAAAATATAAACTTGAACAAGCATTGACGTTCGAGCAATGCCAACTTTGGAGCTCACACTTGGTCTAGTTGGTTAACCCAGAGTTTCAAGGCGGACCCAAAATGCAGTGATCTCCACAATTCATTTCAATCCGAAAAAGGAATTCTGAAAAAGAATCAGCGAGCATCTTCAAAAAATTCAAATTGCATAAAATGCCAAAACAAATAATGGATTCGTGTCCACAAGACACGGGAGGGAGTAGGCGGTCGAAAACTAGATTCTCTAAGCTACTGCAAGAGCTGCGGTCGGTTCAGCAGGAGATAGGAATCACAACACTGCCCATGATTCAACCTAAACTGGTGATACTGTGACAAATGTTCGAGGAATGGCGACCTCCATACGTTCTGAGAATGTTTCATAATGTAACATGCAATCGCAACTACCGAGAATAAATCCTGCAACCAACAGAAAAAGAAGGTTCAATTCATGAAGTAGCCAAAACAGAATAGGATATAATCACAAGTTTTTCGAAAGAAAACAAAAACGACGAATGTTGTGAGTGGAATATCGACAGACCTTGCTGATCTAGAGCTTGAATTCAAGCTCAGGCTTGTGGTTGATTTTAATCAGTATGTAGTTGCCCTTCAACCAACTCCAGCTCTCCACAGCTTCAATTACCAACAGCTTCTGGCCCACCATTTCACTGTACCGGAAACGCTGTCGCAAATTGATGATCAACGTCTTCACGATATCCTTGCCCTTATAGTTCTTCACAATGACGGTCAACTTTGAAACCAGGTTCTTGTGGGTCATCGTGAGGGGGCCGATCGCAGTCCACGAGGTCTTCTGAGCAACAACCATATGTGCTGGATTCTGTGCGTTCGCTTCTACCTTGAAGATGATGCTCCTCAACGCCAAGTTGTGGACGACGTACTTGAGCGTGAAAGATGATGACTTCTTGGTGGAAGCCGGGGACGGCGCTGGTGCAGATTTCGTCGCAGACTGTGTTGGGGCAGATGCAGCAGCATGGGCATTACCCAAAGCTGCACAAAAGAGGAGGAGAGTCACGAAGAGAACTAGCTTAGTCATGGTGCGTGATGATAGATCACGGTGTCAACTCTTTCAATGAGGTATTGGCTACGACGGGCAACTGGGACAACGGTGGTGAAGGAGACAGTAGGTTCGATCAATGTGGGGCATAGAGAGACATTGGCCAAGACAAGCAAGTCGAGCAACAACGGTGCTGGAGGTGGTAGGCTCAATCACAGCTAGGCGCAAAGAGGTGTTATATGCGAATGTAGCCTCATGTTGCGGCGATTCTTGCTGGAGTTTCACGTCAGGTTCAATATTAGATTGTGACATGCATTCTAAAATAGCGTCCTAGATAATCTGGAGTGCTGACAGCTTTAGGCGCGGCGGAGGGCGGTTAGCTAATTGTAGTCAGCCAAATAAAGGCTTCGCACATGTGTCCTGGCTGGAAAATATTCAACTTCTGCTAGAGAGTAGGAGAAATGCACAACCTTGTTGAACACATGAGGTATCGACTCTTGAAATTATTTCTGTGGTTGAAATGATATGCTCTTTCCCGATGAGAACTTGCTCCGGTATTACAGTAAGTTTCCATTTCGACTAACCCATATACTTGATTCTCCCGCAAAAATTAGATTTTTCGAAGAGAAAACTCAGTAAGAAATACAATGTGAATTATTGTTATAATTGTTAAATGTTATGATGTTTTTTGCTGAATTATGATGGCATATAAGCTATTTTTCTTTCCTAGGTTCTTCAGAATGAGTTATATCGCATGACATTCAAGGCTTTCATTGACGTTCATGCGTGCGTGCGTGTCCGTTTTTAATTTGTTCTAAAGAGATTACTTAAAAATAGGCTTGAATGTGCTTTCATTAACTTCCACAGTTGTTCTAGATGCATTACAAATGACGGTGTAACTTCTACACTGTATGACAATCGGTAGTTTATTATACAGATACAGTTCCGCCCAGTATGGTACACTTGTTGAAAATTACACAAAGAGTCCTGTAATCCACGAACTCAAGCATCAGATTGGCTGTACTTCCAAATACACTGCACCCCGAACATCCTGGCGCGCTGAATATCTGCCCAATCTTCGATGACAGTACTTTTTTTAAGAAATTGGAATAGCGGCAAACTGATGGTGAAGTTGGGTTTTTGAATGTCTCTCCAATCACGGTCCTTGTCAAGAGCTACATTCAAAAACGATTCAAGATCGACATCATAGGTTGACCAATCACGGTCCTTATCAATGAGGGACTGAAACTCGGATCTCAATTTTGATATAGCAGTGTCTAGAACCTGGTTATCTTCATCATCAAACGGCCTAAATCTGCTGTGGAAGAAAGAGTGCTTATTGGATTCAATGTATCCATGATCTGTGTGCTACACCAAGGATTTAACAGTGTTAAATTATGTTAAATGTGCCAGATGCCTATGCACTTAAAGTATCCCCTCATGCCTCCAATCGATTGGTCTGCTGACGGATCATAGTATTAACACCTAAAATTGCCCAAGTCCGGCCTTCAGGGGATTACAAAAGTCTAATGAACTTCCCCTGCTCCTCGTACTTACCTACCACGATTCCAACACAGTCACGTTCTCACAAACCTGAAAATCGATTGATCCGCTAAACGGTTCACTGCACGGTGCTTTTAGCTTGAGAGGTCGATCCATTGATTGAATAGCTGGATGGTATCTTCGTGCACATTAACTGAGGTGGGAGTCGGCGGTCAAGTTGGATTTGTCGACCCTCAACAACTCCTAGAAACCAATTTGTGATTATGCGAACTAATGAGGTAGAAGCAGCAGCCATGCGTAATTCATGCGGCCTCTTCGTGTCGTCCTTCAACGCACTTATCAACAGGCAGAAAGTCCACGCAACGATGATAAAGGTTGTGCGGAAGGAGTGTGTTGCAGAGTAGCATTGGTGGGTTCAATTAGTTCAGGTCGAGATGGATCTAATCGGGATTTCCGCGGCAGGGGACACCGGATTAAACCTTGCAATGGAAGTTGTCGCAGATGTGTAAGTGACTCCGTGCAGAGAAGCATGAGGAACACAGTAATCTCGTCACGAGACTATGCGCAGACCGGAGAGAGCCAAGGGAGAATCAGAGATAAGGTTTTGAGTGATCCAGCAAGGTCTGTAACGCACATGGGTGTCTGCTCGGAAGTCCGGAGTCGATGTAAGGTTGAGTGTCAGTACTAAAGCATAAGGAGAGCATGGCGGGGGCAGGGTGGGTGTCGAAGAGATCCCCGAGGGTGTGTCAACAGTTCCGAATCTACACTTCTACAGATCCTGATTGTTTCAGGAGGACGCACAATCTCGATCCTGCTGCATGATCTGGTTGGTGTGCAACAAAGTGAGCGTGGGGATCAACTTCGCCACTCCCTCCCTCCCTCGCAGCACACACCCTACTAGGTGCTCACGCTCGCACCGCCCCTAGTGACAGATTGTAGCATTAACAATTGCACCTCGCATTCACAATCGGTTAGCATTTATGGCCCAAACCCACGCACCACAACACGCATTCGCAGCAGCTCAAGCCGCGCCTGCCCAGTTGCTGAAGCAGCAGCAGCATCCCTCCGCTCGGGGCCACATGGACGCGGGCATGGGCGCATGGGTTGTTGTTGCCCCCATGCGCACTCGTGCGTTTGCTCTTCATCCACCTCATCCATCCGTCCATGAATATATATGTGTTTATCTATGTGAATATTTTTCATCCGTTAGTTTGCCATTCTGAGCATCGTATACTTCTACTATCTTAAGAGTTTGACTCATGGGTGATTAATGACAAACAAGAAATGCCATTCCAATGTCCAATTGGTTTGTTTTGATATGTAGACTTCGTAAAGAAAGATGAATAGTACCTTTCTTTATGAATATTTAACAAGTTAGAAGTAATATTTGGGGCATTAAAAATTTAAAAAAAATTATATATATATATATATATATATATATATATCTGAATTAATCTCTTAGTATTGGCATAGATCTTATTACAACCACAAGATTACATCTTTAGTATTGAACATAAGATACACTTTAATGATTGATTGAATCTTCTTTTGAAAGTAACACAAATGATTAATAAAATTTAACATGCCAAATAATAAGCTTCTTGTAGACTTCTTATATTGCAATTTATATGGATTATTATACATAAGTATCGTTTTATCATTTTAGTTCTCAAAAAAATAGTGTATTAAAAAAATCAATTATAATCACATTAGCATATATGATACAAACGTGAAATTAAATTAGTTTATGAAAAATATGACATAGTCACAACTCTATACTATAAATGATAATTCTGAAAATATATTAAATTATTATATACATTATCAGGTTTAATTGGATGTTAATTCATAATTCAAAATTATACATTAAATAAATTATAATTTTATATTTTAATAATAAAAATCTCTAAAAGAAAATTATATAGTCTTTCAAAGAAAATTTTTGAGTTTTCTACACTTCTACAATAAAATAAGAAGAATGGATAAAATTGAAATAGTTGGGTTTATTAATAAAAATTATGATAATGTCAAATAAAAGAACTTTTTATTTTTATCTATATTATTCTTGATGCAATCACATTTATTAAAAAATCATGGCATGTTGCAAGAATTTGTTCTTGTATTATAAATATTCAAGGCTATGTTTGGTCAAATATTACATCAAATTTTATTATAGGTGCAATTTTAGTTTATTAAAACTTTTTAAACTTGTGCCAATACACATAGAGGATCAATGAGTCTTTATTGTAGTGTTGTTGAGGTTCTATAAAGTTTTACTTTTCAGGGAGGCAATCTTTTGTTGTTTCAATTTTAGAATCAAGATGAAAGATTTTATGCCAAAATATTAGATTGAAATTTGGACAGACATTGCACTTCTTTGACAATGATTTTAAGAACTTTCAGGTAAAAAAGAAAAAAATCAAGAGTGAAAAAAAATACACCTTAAAATTTAGAAGTATATATATATATATATAATATGCAAACATCATACTTAGATGACTTCTATTTAGTCTTATATATATCTTTTTATTTTTATTTTTTTAGTTTATTTAGTCTAAAACATGTTTTTTTATATAAAACAACTCAAGGGATATAATCTAATATGATAAATAAGAAGAAACAAAAACTATCTTTAATTGGTTGCACATCTTATTTTTTTCATCAAAAGTGAAGTAATCAAGGATCAAAATCTACATGCTATTGCTATTAATTGCTAAAAATAGTATTGAGTGATCACTTGTTATAGAACTTAAAAGCCTCACAACATGGAATGGCATGGAATATGGAGTTCTACGTCATATTAAGCTTCATATTTTTGCTAGTAAGTTTCATTCTCAATAAGCTCAAAAAAATCAATAATCTCTTTTCAAAAATCCATCTTTATATCATAATTTTTTCATAGCTCCACATCTCCATTTTTAACATATATATAAAATCATGACTTCCAAAAGTCTTTTTACTATGCATAAAATATCCAAATTGTAGGAAAACCCTTTCAAAACATTTTTCTCCTACAAAAGATTTTTTCTCCCCAAATTTTAGAATTTTATTTCTCTTGATCCAATCGTTCAATTTTTTTCAAATTTCTAGATAATGTAGCTTTTTTTTCTTAAATCTTACCACAAAACAAATGAATAGTAAATCTATTGCCAATTGTTTGGCATCTTAGAAACCCTAGCAAGTGCTCTAAATCTTAATTTAGAAGTACCTAAGTACTATTTTCTTCATACCTCACAAGTTCCAAACTCAAATGCCACAAAATTTGGTATGTGGCTTTATAACATAGTAATACACATTTATAAAAATTTTCAATGAAAGATTCATTCATATGCCCAAGTTATGGCTAAAACCAAATCCCTCATGAAATTGATTCACTGACAAACCTCAATTTGGAAGCACTGTCTTCAAGCAATCATTGCTCTTCTAGATCAATTCCAAATCCTTCATATTTTGCATGCAAAATATAGCCCTTTAAACCAACTTTTCAACCACACAATTTGATCCTCAAAAGCCCTTTATACGAGTTCAGTATGCTCCAAAGAGTAACAGTAGCTACAAAATTGACACCTTAACTTTGAGCACCTATATCTCCATCACAAAAACTCCAAATTACACAAATTTTTACCAAAACCATACCCAAAATTCTAAACTTGACGATTCTAACCTTTGATGTTTAAATGGTATCAAAAGAGTAATCCTAATTCCTAACAAGACCTCAAGCAACCTCCTTGAAGTCCATTGGGCCTGAATTTTGGCCAATAGAAATGGATATTTTATCATCCATCTCCATTCATCCATATGATTGGCCTAACTACTCTTTTTTACACAAAAAAACCTTTCTTTAATCCTTTTCCTAATAAGTTTTAATAATTTATTTATTTATTTAATTTTAATCATTTAAATTAAAAATATAAAATAATAATTTATTTTATGATAGTTATAAATTATAAATTATAAAAATATATTTATTTAATTATATTATTGAAAATTTTAATAATAATAATTTTATATACCTTTTTTAATTTTTAAAATTTAAATTCTGCTTATATAATCATAAATATATTAAAAATATTAATGAATTCTATTATATTAAAATCTAAATCTAAAAATTCTTCTATAATATAATAAAAATAATTTAATAATTTTTAATAAAATATTCTTTTACATATATTTTTATTTTTATTTTTTAGACATCTTTTTTTATTATTATAAGATTAAAAGTGATATTTTTAGGATATAAAATTTATACACTACTATAACAACTATTCTTTATAATTTATAAAATATTATTTTACTTTTGAATTTCTACGCTTATTTTAAACTTTTTTACAATCAATTTAAATATTAATACATGTATATATATTATTTATATAAGAAGACATTATTTATTAAAAATATGTAGAAAATAGTAGTTTTTAAACTAAAAATAATAATGGAAATAATCCACCATATAATCTATTAAAGAATATAATTTGTTAACAAAACAAATAGAAGAAGAAGAAGATTAACTTAATTAGAGCATATACCTATATATTGGCATTATGAGTTGGTAGAAAGAGGTTGGACTCCACCTCTTCCTTATTCTTTTGAGGAACATGTAATTATGATAAGAAGTATTTATTGATAAAAACTAGTTATTGTATTCACTTTGTTGCCTCTCTCTCTTAACAGTTTTAGTATTTCTTGGCTTGTATTAATATTGGATTATTTAACAAAAAATACCTTTGATTATTAAATATAATAATTGTTTAAAAATAACATTGTAATTTATTATTGTGCACCAATAAAGTGGATTTTATATAACTAAGTGGTAAAGTATTTAATTTTGCTTATCATGGTGGTTTATTTTGGTCAAATTGTGTTCTTTATAACATATTATTTTTAGCATTAGTAGAGGTAATTCAACATTATTAACAAAATTAAAATACTATAAATATAATTTTATTGCTATTGAAATTAATCACCTTTTAGTAATAAGTTTATTAAAAATATTTTTAAAAAATTACAAGTTTAATATTGGACTGTAATTTTAGGCATTATAGACTCAATTCTCTATCAAATTATAATCTCTTTGTAGGGCTTCTTTTCATCATCTCTCCATAAAATCAATAACTTCTTTTAAAACACATCCATTGGAATTAAAAAAAAAATGGATATATATATATATAAAGAATTGTGGCATTAAAGAAGAAAATATTTATATATAAGTAGTTATATTTATTTTTTGTTTTTCTAAAAAGTAATTAATAAAATAAAAGAAAAGAAAAGAGAAAATATAGTTGGTTGTAGTTATGGAGATAGAGCTAATAAACTTGTATAAGTATTTGGTACAAGCATCTCTATTTTAAACAACATGCAATACATATTATTCAACTTTTATACAATTTTTGAAGAACTCAAAAATTTATATTTAAATAAATAATATTAGTGATTTCAAAATGTGAAATTTACTTCAAAAAATACATACCAAAGGATGGTAGAGAAGATGGATTTGATTCTAAAAATAGTGACCTTCATAAAGGAGATAAATGTTAGAAATTAGGATTTTAATTATTAATCTTGAAAGTTGATATTGTAAAATACTATCATATATATATTGGAGAATGTTAACTAGATCCGATCTTTTACTAAATTGATCCATCCATGCTAACCATCATGGAAAAAAACAAATAACCTCCATATTCATTTCTTTACTACTAGATCCAAAACCAATGAAAATTAACCACATTCATCATGATTACCATATTCTTCATCATGGATAAGTCGATTTAATAAAAACATGGGTCTATTTAATATTCCTCTACATATATATATTCTTGATAATTGCAAAATTACCAACTCCCAACTCCCATTCTTACTAGCATTATTTATTTGAAGATAAGGAGCTTGTTATCATTTTCCTCAAACAATTTCTCCAAACCCAGGTAAAAGTAGCCCGTCCACTCACAATTCAATCCATTAACGTGGAAAACAGACTCCATCCACGTGGCCGACGCAATTCCACGTCAACCAATTCCAGTGAAAGCGCCAACGTGGCACCGACCCCACCCCGATGGACTCGCCCTCCGCTCCTCACAAGCTCCTCATCCTCGAAAATACTGCGTTTTCTCGACACTTGGGCATTGTTATTGATTCACTGCTGAATTCAAGAAACTCTTCATTCTTTCACTGGACTATGAATTTGAAGTTCATCATGCGAAAGGACGAACTCATGTACTATTATCTGCGATGTAAGAAAACCTAGCTATGAAATGGTGATTGAAAGGGCTGGGCCGAAGAGTCATCTGTATCATGCAAATTTCTGTCTTTTCCAGGAATTTTGTGACGAGACTATGTTTTGTACGTACCAGTCGGTGTAACGATGTCTACAAACATAACCTGGTTCCTCAATAGGTCAGACCTCGAACGGATACTGTGCCGCTTAGCTCTCCCCCATCGTTAGATGCTTCTAAAATGTCGATCAGTTTAGGAAGACCTAAACTAAAACTGCCAATTCACCAGTCCACAAGGTATCGACATCGTGAACATGCAAACCCTGAAGTGGGCACCTGAAACTTTATCATAGTAGTATTTGATGCTCTCAAAAATTAAATCGATTTATGGTCAAGTGAATATTCTTAATAAAGCACAAAAGTGATGTGCTGCTTGTAGAATAAGTTTTTCAGTGTTACTTCATGTCCGGCTCATATACATAACCCTACTTCGAAAAATTTCTAATCTAGGAAAGCTAAGTGCATCCCTAGAACAGCATTACTCCAAGCACAAGGAAACCCCTCTGCATTGCGCACTCAACGCTACGAGAGTGGGAGCACAAAAGAATGACAAATTAACCGAGATCAACTCACTGACCCTGCGAGAACAGCGACAGTGGCTCACAAGCCCCACCCTTGTCCATTATCAGGACGTTGACTGTCATGCGTTCCATGAGGCAACAAACCACCAAAACCTACACAAAGTGTAAAACAACCATCTCCCTCCATCGAAAGTGCGGTAAAGCCGCACCAGTGTTCACTTTAGTGCAACAACGCAATTGTGCGGGTTTTTGCTGCGACTGGCACTGGCCTGCTCGAGGAGGCACGTGGACAGATAGACCACGTAGGACTTAGAAGTATCAACAAATTTAGGAATGTATTGATTTTTTCCTTTATGGCTTTGAAGTCCTCATCCGGAATCGTTGAAGGCGAACGCCGCGTGTTGCGGGGCCTTGCCAAATCCTCACCACAGAATTCCAGTGGCTGTGTAGGCATTTATACAGCCTGCGTTTTGGATATATTTTGTTCTAGGTTTGATTGGATTAGATAAAGAGGTTGGGTGGACGGGCTACTTTTACCTGGGGATATACTTCCTTGTCGCGTTCGGGTTGTGCTTTTGCAGTAGCTGTGGTCTAGTGTTTTGAAATTGATCCGAGGGGTTTACTTGCGGCTTTTCAGTAAGCTTTACAGAAACTGGGTAGAAATTCGATAATGTTACAGTGCTAGAGTTGTTGTTGTTATTTTATTTTATTTTTTCAATGAAGCATCACAACTTAGCCACCCACAGCAGGTTTGGGAGCTCATTTGTGAATCAGAAACTCATCATCCATGGCTGTGTCCCGTCTTGGTCCCGCTCCAAGTCCATCGGCCGTTCAATGGAGTCTCTCCAGCAGGCCTCTCCCTCTCGCAACGAGTAGGTTCAGTGTGGTTCCAGTTCGCGCTTCGAAAAATGTAGAAGATGGAGATACTAGTGGTGGGTGCGCGGCTCTATCACGTCGAGCTTTGATTGCTTTGATAGCTCTGTCTACTCAATTGGGTGGTGTTGCGTCGGCCCGAAACATTAGTGGTGCGATTTCTTAACCCCTCTATCATATTCTCGAAGTTGTTTGAGACATTTGTAGAACCATACTGCCGTATTCTCATATTATCTATTCGCAATTGAAATAAAAGGAAATTTGTAAGGTTTCCTTCTCGAGCTTCGACCATAGGGCACGTGCAAGTGGGTGTTTAGTAAATTTCCGAATCAAATTTCACGGATGTTGTCTCGCTTGTTAAAGGAGTCGAGAGTAGTGTACGTTCAAGCTTGTGCTTACATGAATCGATTCATCTTGACGTTGAATCGTCGATGGCAGCTCCTTCATACCACGCTTGGATTATTCCTTCAATTTTATGAAGATTACTCTGCTAGTTATCGTTGTTATTTGCTGTTAGTTACTTCTAGTCGTAACAACTGTCAAGTACCACATGTTGTTCCTACCAGGACTGCTGTACGTTTTCAGCAGTTATCGCTTTGAGATGTCTGTATGGGTTTTAGATCTTCAATTCTCTTTCTAAGTGAGATTTTACAATTGTCAGGATAATGATTAAGTTGGCATTGAGAATCAATGTATCAAAGGTCTTACAATCAATCTCCGCCCCATTTCGCCAAAATATTTGGATTGTGTGTCTTTTAGGGTACACGATATTTTGAGTCTAGCACGATCTTGCAATGCAGAAATTGCAAAGACTTCTCGTCAAGTTTCGAATGAGTGAGTTGTTGCATTTGGTTAAGTCGTAATTACTTTCTATTGCAGTTTGATCAGCTGATCTACCCTCCAAGTAAAGGAAAGACTGTCGAGAATATCAGTCTGATTTGCGAAAGTTTGCCGTCTTTGTGAAAGATCTAGTGGATGATTGAGGTCTGCAGCCATGAATGAATCGAAAGTGTGTCTGTCTTATCAAGGTCTAATTTCGTCCACCTTGTTAGTGGCTTACCCTCAGAATTTTAAAAGTCGCTGAATGCCAATTTCTTGTTTACTACAGCGACTGAGAGGAGTCGGCTTGATAATTTGCGCAATATCCAGAAACAAAGAAGAAATGTACCTGCTGACGATTCGGGTTTGGATGTTTCCTCTCCTGCCATTGCTGCGGACGTTTCAGGTCTCATAGAGTCTTCAGTGGGCGAGGAGGTGTCCTCATTATCCCTGAGTGCAGTTGAAGTACCGAACACGCCTAAAATCTCTCCAATAAGCACTGACCTAGGGATTATAAATGAAGTGCCAAGAGCTCTTGCGGACAGTGGAGTTGGTGCAGTTGAGGAAAAGATAAACCAGTCAGCATCTGAGGTGAGCAGCTCTCATGCGAGTTACATTATCTGGTCCCTGCAAGTCTCTAGTATTTACAGTTGCAGTCTTGGCTTCGTGATTAACAAATATCTTGATACTCTTAACGGAAGTCAAATCTTCCTGACATTATGTACAAGCCCTCATTTGTGTGTTGAAGGATACTGGTTGTATATTCACGAATCCAATAGGCGCGCAGGGAGAGATTTGTTTTGGAAATTTTGCATCTGGTTCTTCTAATGGGTTGCGGAATTTTCCAATGTATGCTCCAATATATTTGAAATATCCAGAGGATGGGACTTTCTTGATCATTATAAAATTTAAGTGTGTGTCCTCTTTGGGATGCTACTTTGAAGCAGTCATATTTTGAATTGATCACGCGGCTTGAACCGAGAATGGATGTTGGAAATTTTAGAAACCTAACAACTACTTCAAAATGTCTTCGCGCAGGTTTCATCTGGTGGGAGTAATGGGTTTGGACCTTTAAGTCTTGGGGGTATCTTAGGAACCGGTGTGGCGGGGGCGTTGTTTTATAGCGAGCGACAATCTAAAGCTCAGGCTGAATCTGCACTTGATGCTGTAAGCTCTATGTACCAGATTCTTGTCTAGACCATTAATCCTGGTAAGTCGATTAGGTTTGGCCATCCTCATTGGGCGTGTCAAATGAAAACAGTAACCTTGAAGAGTGATTGTCTGGACAGTTGAGACGGATTTGAGATGTTAGTGCTCTCCCAATAGCTTCTTGCTAAATGAACTATATTCATCTTTGTAGAACAAAACACTATTGATGTTGAAGCTCGCATGATTGGCTGAGGTAGTGGCAGATTAAATTTCATCCACGAAGGTCCTGATGTGATCTTTACAGGCGAAAAAGCAGCTCCAGGAGCTTAGAGAGACCTCAGAAGGGCAATTACTTGCAGGTGTGCAGCTGCTCCTCTGTTATACTTTTTCTTGTTCGATTCAGTCTGTCTGACATCTTTTACTAGGATATTTGATTTCAGAACAAGGGAGAGTCTAGGTTATCGATACAATACTTTTAGATTGAGTCTCGCTGTATTGAAAGAATGATATCTTCGACATTTTTCAAAAATTCAAGAGTATTAAGGGCTCAAGTTGTAAAGGTCAAATCAGCTGAAGATTTGAAATGCTCTATTGTGCAGTAAATTTACATGGCGATTGCTCAATGAATGGTCGTCTCTTTCAATAACCATCTGGGTGGTTCGTAGCATAACCTGACTTTAGTTGGTGATTGCTTGCAGAAAAGCAGCTAGCACAAAAGGAGGCGAGCAAGGCCCAGGAGCAACGCACAACGCTTACTAATGAGCTCATGGCTTCAAGATCCTCGGTTACTGATCTGGAAGGTAAGCTTCAAATGGCAAAAGCTTCAGTGGTCGATCTTCAGGAAAGGGTTTCAAGTCTGCAAGTCACTCTCGCGGACCAAGAGAAGAATTACAGTTCACTGAATGGAAGATTTGTAGAGGAAAAAGAAGTAAGTGAAAAGCTACGGAATGAAATTACAACGTTAAAATATACGCTTTCGGACAAAGAAAAGGATTACACATCACTCAATGAGAGATTTGTGGAGGAGAAAGCAACTGCTGAAGAGCTGCAGGAGAAGATTAAAGTATTGAAGATGGACATCGAGGCTAAGGAAAATGAAATTAATGTTCAAACTGCAAGGATCAAAGAAGAACAGGACTCTGTTGCATCGTTGCAAAATGAGCTTCAAATTGCAGGAACACAACTTTCTGAAGAGCGCAGTAGACTGACTGAAGTGAGCAGTAAACTTGCAACTCTTGAGGGTAGTTATGCTGCTTCACAGGATTTAAATACACAGCTGGATCTTTCGATCAGTGATTTGAAACAAAAACTACAGACTACAAACAGTAGAAAGGAGGCGCTCGAGAAAGAGGTGACAAGCTTGAATGAAGTGATAAACTCGCTGAAAGGAACCTTGGCAGAAGAGAATGACAAGAAGGACACCCTGTATGGCCAGCTCAAGGTAACTTCAGGGGCTTTAGAGAAGGCAACATCGGAGGTGCAGTTGCTGGAGCAACGGTAAGTTCTTTATGAGTTTTTAATATGTTTGAATGATTACTTAGAACGTCGTGTGGGGTATGATAGCTTGTTTGAAACAGTGCTCATGCAATGCATCCTTGACGTAGAATAATTTATCGACCTGTGCATACGTGTTAAAGGTATATCCATCTCTATATGTTTTCATGTTCGTGAAGTTGTTCATCCTTAACACCCTTAAATGTTTTTTTTTTTTTTTTTTTTTTTTTTTGATTGTAGGGTTACGAATATGTCTGCAGCTGTAAAAGCACTTGAAAAAGAGAAAAATGGTGAGATCAATCAACTTACCAAGGAACTCCAAGAGAGAATTAAGTCACTTGATGTGGCCCAGCAAAAATGTCAAGCATTTTCTAACGAAATATCCACTCTCAAGAGGCAGCAGGCAGCTCTAAATGAAGTAAACTTTCTCGATGAACTTCTAATCTTCGTTCTTTTTCTGAGATTGCGTTTAATTCTGGACTATCCTAAATCCCTATGTTTTTTCCTTATCTGATTCCAAGGCTTCCCAAACGCAGGAGTTGGACAACACAAACAAAGAATTGGAGGCATCAACCGATGAATTTAAAACCATAAGTGAGCAGCTAACAGTCGCTGTTAACTTAAGTTTGAAGCTGGAAACCCAATTAAACGAGACGAGAGCAGCATATCAAAGCGCAAATGTTGCACTTGCAGAGGAGCGAAAGGTAACAGCTGCTGCTAAGAATCAGTTAGCTACAACACAAAGGTCTCTCATAGCGGAAAAGAACAGTGTAAAAGCTCTGCGAGGAAGTGTGGACCAAGCTCTCCAGGCACTTCAGGAGCTCAACCAAGATTCAGTCGCCTTAGCAGATGAGCTCGACAAAGCAAAAAAGAAAATCGCCAACTTGGAGGCAGAGAGTGCATCAGTACGTCAAAAGCTTGTTAAGGAGAAAGAAATGTCTGCTAATTTAAGATCAGGGGCTGCAGAAGCTGAAGGTACTATAGCTAGGCTCCTTAAGGAGAATGACGCCGGCAATAAAAAGGTGAAGCAGTTGGAAGGTGAGGTACTGAAGAGCAAAGGGGAGATGGCCAAACAGAAGGGAAAGCTTTTGGAACAAAAACGTGCATTGCAACAAGCTGAGACACGTCTGAAAATGATCCCTCAGGTTTGTTTACTCTTTATAGAAATTCTAAACCTAGACTATTTTCAAAACTCACATTGTTGTTGTCTCTATGTAATGCACTGTGCACAATCTGTGTCATGTCACTTTTGAGAACCCATGCGGTCACTCAGGCAAGTAGCAGGTATCAGTGTATGTCACGTATACGTCATATTTACCCAACTCAGTGCAAACTGGAGGTTTGCATTTGAAAGGTTAGCTTAACTTTACAACATTTTGCCATTCAGGTTCGTGCGGAGGCTGCATTATTGGTTGAGAAGTACGAGGATCTAGCTTATCAAGAAAAAGAGCAAAAGGAAGCTATAATGCGTGAGGTCTGGTTCTTAGCAGAAGTTGAAATGATGTGAATTTTCCTGTTTGGGCATTTGATAGATAAACCTTCCTCCCTTCTCGTGTTCTTATCGTATAGTCTGATCTAGTCCACCACATTTCTGAGAATCCTCGATGTGGATGGAAGGTTAGACGTATCACCGAGATGCTGTGCTTGTGTATTAAAGTTTTTGTGTGTACCACTTAATATTTTAGCTCAACAATGGTGCCTGTTTGACTGTGGATGCAGAATGAACAGCTGAATAAGTCTGGCAAGACGGTCGGTGCAGACCTCAGTGAGGTTAAACAGGTAAATATATTTTTCTTCCTTCTTCAGAAGAGCCACGAAGTTAAGGCCTCCTCACGAATTTTAATATATCAAAACGTCATGTAAAAGTTTGTTTAGCTGGTAGCTATCTGTTGCAATGTGGATTTGTGAAACGCACTATCACTATCTGTTATGTTTTGCTTGAGGTCCAGGTCTGCTCTACTGAAGCAATGATCTCAATCTTTGTCTGGATCAGTGAAAACGTCTTTCTCCCTCTCCCATAATGCTCCTCATATTCCCGGAGCAGTTTGTTCTAGCGATTAGACAAAGCAATACTTACGTACAAGTCTGATTATATCTGTAGATTATACTCTGGATGTGTCCTAACCTATTGTTTCTGCATGTCCTTGCAGAGCTTAGAGGACGGCAAGGCAGCACGATCTGAAATGGAAGCTGTTTTGTGGGCACTTCAGGAAGTCGTTGCGGATAATTCTAGCTAGATTTATTCATGCCTTGTATAAAGTTCAAGTAACTTTCTCATTAATACTCATCTTGGACAGATTTGCCTTCGTAGTGTTTCTCGAGAGGTTCACTAGATGAGTCGCTTATGTTGAGGTAATGAGAATGGTTGCACTGAGGACGTTTGTAGAGCGTGGAACTAGGTATCGAGGTATGTTTTGGCTAATGTCAGACCACGAAATCACCAGGAATAAGCATACGAGTGCAAGTATTTATTGAGTTCTACACTAAGGTATGCACCTAAGGAGCCTATAGCTCCATTTGCAGGTAGAAACCAGCTTCTGCTTCAGGACTGAAAATGTTTTCAGGAACCGACTTTTCACCAGAGTTGCGTTGCAATATATGTCTCCATCTTGACTTGTCTTCTCCAACTAAGATTTAGTGAAGTAGTGGCTATTTGAATTTGAATGTACTCTAATGTAACATGGTTACATGGGTTATATGGGCATTGTTATTGTAGCCACAATTTTTGCTACTACTAGTACAATCCCCATCCATCACATGCGACCTTTGTCCCAAAAAATTCAAATCAATCAAGTTTTATTTATTCAATACTTTGCTAACCATTTGATTGAACAATCTTTTTGATTGAAATAAAAGAAATTTATTGAATGAATGGCAGATTGTAGTAACAATAGCAAAAGCTTTAATAGTAGCAAAAATCGTGGTGGCCGTAGCAACACCTTTAACAATTCTCAGTTAGTCAACAATTAATGTCAAAGAGCTATAAAAGCTTGTAATTATATGGTAGATCTTAGATCATGCACTACCCACAAATCCATTGTTGTTTTGCCGATCGGCTATACTAGATTCCCACTTCTAATAGATGTACTAACATGTTTTTTGTAAAATTTTGGAGAATTTTTTCCTTTTAGCTTCAAATACCATTCTCATATTTGTTATCTATTAAAAAGACATTAAATTTTTCACAATGCCAAATTGATATTAGATACAAATTGATATTATATAAAAACATATTAGGTAAATAATATCTTTCTAAACAAATATCAAATAAGCTTCTCAGATGCAAATTAGATCCATATATTCTTTTATATATACTACTTGGCTATAGAAACTTTTTTTAAACAATTTTGACTTTTGAAAAGCTACTATTGAAGTGTATAAGTATCATCATACTATTTTATATATATATATATATATATATATATATTTTTTTTTTTTTATATTTGGTGGCATAATTAATAACTAGGTTAAATGTTTGAGGACTAAGTAAGTTATACAATAATTTATTTACATCATGTTAGGATTTATAAAAATATTATTGATAAGTGGGACATTTTTTAAAGTAACATCAATTATAAATTTTCAAGATTATGAGGCACAAACTATCACGGACATACGCATGTACGCCAATAATTACATGTATAAATAAGTAGAAGTAACTAAAAGTAGGTAAAAGTAAGTTAATTCTTTAATATTTACTATAAAAGCTTCCTAGAAGCTTTATAAACAGTACTTTGACTTTATATATGTCTTTAATTGACTTTTTGGATTAGAAACGTGGTCAACAAGTTGGCCATGTGCCACACATGTTATTAGCTTGAAGACAAAGCTAATTATGTGGTCCATATGTAGAAAAACTTGCCTTGTAAGTCAAGGCATGTGTCCTATAAAGTCAACACATATTGGAGGTCCTATAGAATGTCGCCACGTAGCCCCTAGTTAGATAGTATATATAGAGACAAGAGTAAAGCCTTCTTCACTCTTATCAACTCCTTTCTTACTTCTAGTCTACTTTCAAGGGTCTCTAATTTTCTTAGCTTTTGGCAATAGCCATTCTAGTTTCTTTCTTAATATACATATCAAATTATTTCTATTTTTTCATCTTTTTTTGAGAGAAGTCTTACTTATTTATTTATTTTTATCATGTTCTTGACCTTGACAGATTGACAAGAGTATATTTACAATATCAGAGCTTTGTCTAATCTTGATTAAGAGTGGATTACTCTTTTTTCTTGATAAGACATAAGCATATAAGAAGTTATAGATTACCCTCTTCTAAATTGATATTGTCCTTAATATTTTCTTTGTTCTCAAGTCCTCTCTTCTATTTGTCTTGAGTGATATTAGACATCTTCTCTTTTCTAAGTGTTATCATGGCAGAACTTGCTGAAATAAAGAGTGCAATGGTACAAATGCAAGAGTAATTGAAGGAATTAATGCTTGCGATGCATCAACTCAATTTACCACCATAAGGAGCAACAAGATTGGCAAGAAGTGAAGATATAGAAATGATTGGAGCTACTTCAACATTTGCACCAAATCATGTCCCTTCTCCTATAGTGGAATACCCTTTCAATGTTAGAGAAATAAGAATTGTCCTACCCAAGAAGTTTGATGGCACTAGATCAAAGTTTAGAGGATTTATCAATCAAGTACAACTTGTGATTGAACTTCAATCCCAAAGCTATCCAACTCCAGGATCGCAAATTAGATTCATTGGTATGTTTTTTTTAAGTTCAGTATTATCATGGTTTTCATCATTTCTTGAACGACGAGATCCAATATTTCATAGCTTCAATCCATGTATGGAGAACATGATGCAATTCGTGTTGCAACCAATAAGATCCGTATTTTACGGCAAGGCAATCGATCAGTAATGTTGTACGCTTCACAATTTTGACAACTTGTAATTGACATCAAGTGGGATGATGCTGCACTTATTAGCTAATTTCTCTACGGATTACAATATGAGGTAAAAAATTAATGCTCAACTTACCTGATCTTCAAACATTGAGTCAAGCAATTGACTTTGCTGTGAAGTACGACAATTGTCTTTTTGAATTTCGATCTGAGAATCATACAAGTGGACCTCAACAATACTATAATTCAATGGCAACACCAACATCTCTTCAACACATACATTTGAAAGTAGAGGATATGCAAATTGATGCGATACGTTTCAAACTTCTTATTGAGCAAGAAAAGACTCGTCATCATCAGGAAGGATTATGCTCATATTGTGGAGAACCTAAGCACACTGCTCAGAATTGTCCAAAGAAGCGACACAACCATAAAATGAGGAGTACGGTGATCAAAGAAGATAGCATGTTAGAAAAAAAATTTGTCCAGTTACAATAGTGATCGTGCGGCTGGAACCTTGTACAACGCCTAGTGAAGGTCCTATCCTCTACTTAGAACCCTCTCCATGTTTTACGATAAATATTATTCTAGGACCTAAACATCACAAAGCCTTTGCCTTGCTAGATTCAGGAGCCTCAGCATGTTTCTTAGTTGAAGAATTTGCTAAAAGACATAGCATATTTTTGTGAAGAAAACTAAACTTGTTCATGTAGAAGTCATAGATGGTTGTCTGTTGTCTTCAGGAGATGTTACTCATGAAATCCTTCCTATAGAAATAGCAACTAATGATCAAAGTAGCTTTGTAATATTTAATATCATTAGATCTCCTTCTAATCTAGTCATTTTAGGTTTATCATGACTAAAAAAATATAATCCTAAAATAGATTGGACTTCTCGTAGTCTTGACTTTTTTGAAAGTATAACTAAGAGCATAGTTAATTAAGTAGAAAGTCATAAGTCTAGTATAATTAAACCTAAATTTGTAGGTGTAAGAGCTTTTTTGCATGTTGCAAAAGAAGGATCACCTTGTATCATTTATGCCACACCTATTTCTATTGGTGGAAAGACTTCAAGTGGCATTCCAAGCCAATATTAAGATTTTAAAGATGTATTTGAGAAGAAGAATGTGGATACTCTTTCAGAACATCTTTTCTATGACTGCTCAATTGACCTTTAAGAAGGAGTACAACCCCCATTTAGACCAATCTACAATTTATCTCAAAATGAGTTGGCTGAACTCAAGGACTATATTGAAGAAAATTTGGTCAAGAACTTCATATGCCATTCCAAATCTCCAACAAGAGCTCCAATTTTATTTGTAAAGAAAAAAGATAGATCATTGCGGATGTGTGTCGATTATTGAGGACTCAACAAAATCACTATCAAAAACAGGTACCCACTATCTTTTATATTTGGACTCCTTGAGCAGTTGAATCAAGTTAAGATCTATATAAAAATAGATCTACGAAGAGCATACAATCTGGTACGCATCAAAGAAAGAAATGAATGGAAGACTGTATTTTGAACAAGGTATGGACATTTCGAATACAATGTCATATCTTTTGGACTTATAAATGCACCAGCAGCATTCCAACATCTAATGAATGATGTCTTTCAAGAGTTTTTAAATGATTTTGTTGTCTGTTACCTAGACGACATCTTAATCTATTCTAAGAACATATAAGAACATGAACTTCATGTTCATCATGTATTACAAAAATTAAGAGATATGAGACTCTATGCCAAGATAAAAAAGTGTATATTTCATACTACTCAAGTCGATTTCTTAGGATACATCATTTCAAATGATGGACTTATGATAGATCCTAAGAACGTTCAAACTATTATGGATTGGAAGATCTCAAATACGGTAAGAGATGTCTAATATTTTTTGGAATTTGCTAACTACTATCGCATCTTTATCAAAGACTTCTCTCAAGTTGCAGCTCTACTTACATGTTCGACTTGTAAAGACAAACTTCAATGGAATCAAGAAGCAGAAGTAGCATTTGAAGCTTTGAAGACAGCCTTTGTTTCTGCATCAATCTTGTATCATGTCAATTTCTCTAAGCCATTCTTTATGGAAACAGATGCATCAAACTTTGCTTTAGATGTTATATTATCACAAATGGAAATAGATGATAAACTTCATCCAATAGCTTTTCATTCTAAAATAATTTTAGCATCCGAGATCAACTACGAGATCCACGACAAAGAACTTCTTGCAATCGTGGATTCGTTTCAAGAATGGCGCTATTATCTAGAAGGTACTTCTAACCCAGTCACCGTATATATGGATCACAAGAACCTTGAATATTTTATGTCAACACATGTTTTGAATTGTCGCCAAACCCATTGGAGTATGTCTTCATCAAGATTCAAATTCAAGATCACTTATCGACTAAGAAAACAACAAGGTTTGTCAGATGTACTATCAAGGACAAAGACTCGATGAGGAAAAATATACACCAAAAGGCTATCTCGATATAATAAGTCAAAATATAAACAAGTAGGTATATTAAAAGGAAACTGGAATGGCTATTGCCACAAGACAAGAAACTAAAGACTCTTGAACCTGGACTAGAAGCAAGAAAGGAGTTGACAAGAGTGAAGAAGCCTTCACTCTTGTCTCTATATATACTATCTAACTAGGGGCTACGTGGCGACGTTCTATAGGACCTCCAATATGTGTTGACTTTGTAGGACACATGCCTTGACTTACAAGGCAAGTTTTTCTACGTGTAGGCCACATAGTTAGCTTGATCTTC